GATGGGCCTGATCGTTACAATATGCCCAAAACTAGACCATGTCAAGTTAACGAACCGAATTTCATCTATACGAAATGTTAATAAATGGAGCTAATAATATCACACACGGTTGCTTTTACATTATATTTTAACCAGTATTTCACATATTCGTGAGAATGACAATTTTTGCGTTTCGTTGTAATTAGTAATACAATAACATTATATAAAACTTTCTTGATTTGAGTTTCAGTTTACCTGAAACATTTGCTACTAGTGTCTCTTTTACTTCAAAGGAAGCAGATAAATGAGGTTCAGACACTTTTTACCAGGTAATTATCTTACCTAAAAAGTGAGCCAATCACATTTTATTTCCTTATTTAAGTATAGTATAACACTTCGAGTAGTTTTGCAAAGTGTACCGCTTAACAAAACAAAATTATCGTATTTATAAATATCGAAGAAACATGAACGCCGCCTTCAATGCAGTGCATTTTAGCAATCGTACTTTACATAAGATATATCCAGATTACGTTTTTCCTAGCACGCTTGCATGGTGCCATTTAAAGGTTTTAGACGTTAAACTTCAAATGAACGTTGTTATAGTCAGAATCTTATAGTACATTAATAGAGCTTTTTCAGAATTTTCACAATTTTTCAAAGTTTGTACGAAATGTCTTGTTATTTACCATTCCTTTATATCTTGTTGTCTTGTCCTAAGCAGAACGAGCATTCAAGGAATTTCTTATTGCTATTGGGTTATCTATATCATATGGACTACCTTTGACATTTTGATAAAAAGATCTATAGCACCTCTCATTGATGTTAAATGGTTTATAAATAACTATATCGATCATAGTTCTATGCTGAATTTTATCAATAGTCGATGCCTACAAACACTTTTTTATCTGAAAAAAAAAATGACTCAGTGACTCATGAATCAACTAATGCAAATTTTATCTCCAAAACCTTTACACAGTTGATTGTGTGTAGGCAGGACAAATTCTCGTTCTTGAAAGTCTATTTCATTAATTCGGATTTATTCGGAATTAATCTAGCGAGAAATAATGGTAAAATAAGCTAATAAGAGCACACGAAGTAAATTAATTATTGAGGGGAAAAAGACTGATTTGGCATTTCTATATTTCATTTCGCAGATCTTGATGATGTTGTTTCGAAAGTAATGCCCTCAATTACTCAATATTTTCTTTCTATTTATGCTTCAATCAAAATGACTTACACTAGCATCGCTTCCTATTAGTCTTGCAAGCCGTTGCTATCATATTTCAATAAAAAGTATTTTATTTGTCCATTTGCAATTTCAATGATCTCCTGACTTACTTTAATTGAGACAACAAAGCGTGGGACTTCTTGCGTATATTTCAAACAATCTCGGGGCCGCTGTTTTTGCCTTTTTTACCTCATTTCCTTACCGACTTGACCCAAACATATAAATCTAAGTTTCAAGTTCATTAAAAAAGAGAGAAGAAAATGGACATTGGCCTAGGAAAAAATCTGAAAAAGGAGAATCCCTCGGAAGCATTATCACAACAAAATTACTTGAAAACTACAGACTCTATTTGATTGCGTCTATACATGAGAAATAATGAAAAATTGCAGCATCATTTACACCCCTAGCACCGGCTTGAGCGGTACTCAATTTTCAACATTGAAAGTGCTTGAATAAATGATCCAAAAGGACTAGAAAAATATAACACTGAAGACATACAATGTAATTAAATGCCAATTAAGGGAAATATGCACGTCAATGCTTTATTTCATTGCTTTATTTTCAAAGTCAGAATCATTCAGATATCGACGAGATTAACTTTACAAAATTATGTTCCATTGTGCAAGGTCTTATTATCAGAAAATCTAATTTCATATCTAATGATCAAAGGAAAACTTCCATCGTACATTTTACATTATTTTTTATCTCAACAAAAGCTTTGCTTAACATTTTTATAGATGTTTACTGGAAAAAAATCACGAGCGCACTAATTTGCAAATTGCATTTGATACAGCTCTTTCAAATATAGCGTGTGATTTTACTGTTCAACAAATGCATTAATGGGAAAGAATTTGGAAAATTGCATACCAAATTATTTTTAAAACGCTTTGTGTTTAGCTATCAGTTACAATTTAGAATGATTAGAAAATTTAGGTAAATGAATCTTGAAATGGACCTTTTAAGGAGTATGCTAAAGTTGGTTTTGAAACGCTGCAACATGTAAAGAAGGTTACATAATGAAGTATGCATAGTCTATGGAAATGTTTTAGGTGTGCTAGAAAATAATTATGTTACATACAAACAAAATGAAGACATGTCGTTGTACAAGTTCGTAGGACTTAGAAAACTTCTTCTCCTGACAATAGCACTGTCTTAAATAGTTACAATATAAAATGCTAACTAACAGCATGAAAGCTAGCAGATTTCATTATAAAACACATACATATTATAAATCTTAATCATCTTCAATGTATTACAATGTACAGTATCAGAGCCTCGCAATACCGAATAATGTATACAATCAAAGTATAGGGCGGTATTTTACACACATCAAACCCATTACAGTAACTATAAATTACATATATCAATCAATGTGTCTTTAATACCTTTAGTAAGTTTACTTATTGTTAAATTATGTTTCATTTAGTCACTGGATGTATCTTCCATGCATAAATGGTATATCCGGGCGTAAACGGTTAACCCATGCGTCGTGTTTGGTTTAACGGCACATGAACACAATTTAGGTCATATGGCACCGAAACCAAAAAGATGAGTGTTGCTAACCTTGAGAATTACAAGAGTGGTCAAAAACACATCGCCTGCTGAGCAGAGAGATGCATAGATTCCAATAATTCGAACCCATTTTGTCGCCTCTTACGATAACGCAGGGATAAACTGTAGCTGCAATTCTGGTGTCCAAATTCCTTAGCCACAGTGGTTTTCTTAATTGCGTCAATGATATCTAGTTCTTACTCAAACAAACTGTTATTTCAAAACCTTAACTAACATTGTTTTCTTACCGCAGTTGCATTATTATTCGTCAATGTGTAGGTGTATCAAGGAAATGTCAACCATTTATTTATTTGAACAAAAGCAGTTGCCTTCTTAAAAATTGAAATATGATACGAACATAAATTTAAGATAAATAGACAAAAAAGACAAAGGAAAATAAACTTGCAAACGTAATGTTTAAACTTTGCATGATGAAAGAAAATCATAATAGACCCAACTTTATAAGACAAAAATCCGATATCATTACTCTAAATTTATGTAATATCCTCCTGAAAGTGAGTTTTCTATACTACTTTTGTTCATTTTGAAGAGCAGATAACTCAAAATAAACTACGTCTTTCATTATTACAAGTCATTCTTTGCTATTTCATTTTTAATATAGTAAGTGTAAAACAATTCGATCCATCATAAATTTCACTATGCTGCAATGAGTTAACCTACTGCAATTTTCTTCAAAGGGTGGCATAACTTGCAAAAAAACCATTGCGTATAATTGAAGAAGATTGGTCTACAATAGCCACATTTTTTCAAATATTGATGGAAATGTGTAATTTGGATATTCTTATGAAATATTACTGGAAAACAAAATGTTGACAAAGTTCTAAGGTGATATATTGTGAACATTTATATGATGAATAATAATATTTTGTCCTCGAACACTACTATCTCCTAAATATTGATATGTCATATTGGATCATGTATCAAACCTTCGCAAACACCATCTACATATAATCTTTTTGCGATTTGTTGTTATGTAAGATAAAAAAAAATATCAGCATAATTATTTATGGTACTACAGCTCTTCTATTATGCACCAATTCACTTTAACTTTAGAATAAAGTCTATTGCAATGAATTTCAGCAAAATGTGCACAATGCCAGGGAATGAAGTAATCAACGTGAATAAGAAATCAAAGAAGTTGTTGTTTGCTACAGTTTTAAGTTATCTTCTTATGAAACGGCTTAAAACAATCAAAAATGAAAATGTAAAAGAAACAATAAAAACTGTAAAAACCGTCTTGAAGAGGTCATTGAATAATTATTGATCTACAATGTAGTTACTAAAATATAGTTATCATTTTATTGTTATAAGTGAATATAAGATGCTGATAAAAGATCATGTTACAGTAAGTTACGTATGTTGTTGTCATATATTTAGGAACATTCTGTATTGTTAGTACTATAGATATCAAAATGTATATTACTACAAAAGATAAAGTGTATATTTTAAAATGAAAATGAAATGAAACGATTGAACATAATTATTATTCCCTTCACCTACATAAAAAGAATCTGAATCTTGTTGAAAGTATCCTTTCATGATTTAATTACGTTTTAGCATAACATGCAACCAATTGCTAAAAATATTTCTACATTTAATAATCAAAGGAAAAATTATTGGAACATTTTATCGTAGATTATGACAAAAATAAGCCAACCTTTACATCAAATATATCAAACTGACAACAGCAACGTGTAACACGCTATTTGCTAGCATCAATGTAAATTGCATAAGGAATCATTGCCAATGTTTTCTTACTTTGGTGAACTTCTTTAGTAGCATTTAATGCCTGCAAAATGTTTAGACTAATTAACGCTGCCAATAAATTTGTATATGTAGTCCGCATTGTATAAAATAAACTTAAAATTAACATTTTTTAAACCACCACAAATAAACTGAACATTTTCTCTTCTGTGATGTCAGTTCACCATGCTAGACATAAAATGCCTTTAATTGAAAAAGTATTTGTCATAGAAAACGCTTATATATTGCCATCTATGAACATACTAGGTCCAACAGAGCGTTCATTATTTTACATTTTGTTGGTGGTGGTGGTCCGGATTATGTCAGGGAGCCATGTTGAATTGACCAGAGCAAAGTTCAGCCACATTATCGTTCTTTGTTAAGCTGTCAAGCCTTTACCGTTGATTTTCATTTTTACTGCGTCATGCAGTTTTTATATTTCTCAGTTTACCTATTTAGTAACGTGAGATACATCTATATACTATAATCACGCCCGAGTAAGAACGAACAAGTCATTTGTCGATATTGGAATATAGTGAACGCTTTAACCAGGAGCGTAAAATATGCTCTATCAAACAACCATCAAACTATAACTAATGGATTTCTTGTATAGAGCACTTATAACTTGTATATACAAGTGAAGCTTTTCTAAGCTATAAAATTATAAAAATATAAAACGTTAGTTTTTGCTTGTTTTTTAAATTGACTAGTGCACGCAAGTCAGAGGAAAAATGGATTTTTGTGACTCAAAGGTAAATAATTTATTGAACAAAATTCATCTAAAAATATATTTGTATTAATTTATTCAGCGCAAGTTTTCAGAAAACTGCGTCATCACTCGGATATATTTGTAATTATATGATAGAACTTTATAAATATAATAAAACTAGTTATTTTTCATGTCCTTGTTAAGTTAAAATATAAATGAATACGGGTATATACATTTTTCTTTCATTTTTGTTATAATTATAATAAGGAGGAATTAATGTAGAAGCATTTGAACATTTTTGAAATATTTCTAGTAAATAGAACATTGCTCCTTTGCTTTAAAGGGACTCCATTGAGGTTTTTTGACATGACGGGACTGGAAATAATTTTTTGAGATTATTACTCCATCTGATGTAGACCTATACTAATAACCTATGTACAAAATTTCAGATCATTAGCTCGCTCTGTTGTTCCAGAATAATTATTAAAATAGTGAAAAATGACCCAAAATTGAAAAGCGTTTAAACGCTTTTCAGTCAAATCGAACTGAGCATAGCACAAACATATGATTTTCAATGTATTTCTTAATTATAATTTATTTATATTTCTTTTTTAAGTGCTCATGCTTATCTATGTGAAAAAATATATTTTTTTTATGTTTTCAGGCTTATAAACCTCAGTGGAGTTCCTTTAACATGGTAGTATGAATAGTTAGATTTATTGACAATGGTTGAAATTACAACTTTTAATAAGAGCATGTATATTTCTAAAATGATAGGAATAAAATATTCTTTGATATAAAAACAAAATGTTGTGATTCTGATACTTCGTTTTTCAAAAGTGGCATGCCTCCAGTCGAACACAAATATTTCAAGAAAATCAAACTTCCAAAAAAATTTAATTTAAAGTAAAAAGATTCAATTAATAATGTTATGTGCGATTGATAACTGATTGTGCTGTAATTTTCACCATATTTCTACTGCGTTACTAACGCCGTAAGGGATATTTATACATATTTTACCTCTTTATGATAATTTCAGTGTATTGTAAGTGCTGTTTGCAATGTGTAAATTATTTTCTTTGTTCACAATATTTCACCTTTAAAAAACATTTTCAAAATTTTCATGAAAAATAGCATGAATATTGACATATTTCATAAATAAATTGGCACCTAAAATGGATGTGTTTTTCCCTCTTGAAAGTAAAGCATACACCACATGTTTGAAGAAATACAGGGTATTGAATGTCTGTACGTCTATTCTCAAATTATGTTATACGGTCCTTTGGCCAACATAATATTATGGTCTTGAAAAAGTTGAATAAATTCAGATATGAAGCTAGACAGTTATGAAATTCCTTTTATGACTTACCCAGTGAACAATCAACACGACAAAATTAAATTTATGACTTACATACTAATACTGTAACGCTAACATTTAGCATTTTGTTCCACCTTTGCGACTTACCTTGTAAAAATGGTATTGCACGGCCGTGCATGTATTTTGACGTGACGTCATTTGCATTACTGTTTACATACAAAGTGTAAAGACACGCTAAATAATATCGTTGTCCTATAGGCGCGCCAATGAAAAAATGAATATTTTTCTCTTTAAACAGTCTTTATATTTGGTATGTGAAATAGAATATTATATTCGTGTAGATTCATTACTGAATTCATTGAACTCGTTGAATAAAACATCATTATGGTCGCCAGAGGCTGTATTAAAATAAATTACTTTAACTCGTTAATAGATTCACTATTGAACTCCACACGTTCAATATTCTCTATTTACGTTATGTTTGCACACTGTATATGACGTCATGCCAAAACATCTGCAAGAACGTGCTGTCATTTTACGGAGTGGGAAAAGACACGAGTATATTTTAAACACATACAAGGATATTTATGTTATTTGAAATATGAGAAATGTTTCTACAGTATAGTTAAATCACCCAGTGTCTATGTGACATGTATTTCTAATACTTTTATATCCAAGATTGTATGTGGCAAAATAAATACCAAGCTTCGTTCTTGGAAATCTTGTTTTCATTATCTCGGAATTAATCTAGCGAGAAATGAATGGTAAAGTAAGTTAATAAGAGCTTATGAAAGGAATCAATTTCTGTAGAGAAACTTTAGTACAACGACTTATTTTGCTTATTAGATTTCGGTTTGCAGAACTTGATAAGACTTAATTAAGAAAGAATCACATACTGGTGGCTATTAGGGCGTATGTCTCATTTTTATACCTACTATTAAGGCATTGCTTGTTGACAACTTGATGTTTTAAGATTATAAACAAAAAAATCTGACACTTTTGTAATTTTGACGAGAAACGATACTGTCAATACCTATGCTGTATGTCCTTTAGAATCATTTGCAAATGGTATTCCTTCTGTTTCAGTTTTGTTGATTCATAAACAGTTAAGCAAGTTTTCTTCTGCGTAGAGAGAGAGTGATGATAAAAACATGTGATTTTTCTACAATAAGATAAATGACGATTCAAGATGATTTTGGAAAAAGTGGTGATCAATTTCCTTGTTCATGTACTGTCATCATATGTCGAAAGTGCTCTGTCAGATTCTTCTAGTCATGTTAAGGTAGCAGACCAAGGTCTACCTAGTATAAATTTTAACGGTACAAGCATTGTAAGAAACAATAAAGGAAATTCAAGTCTTGACTTTAATGAGTTTCAAAACGTTACAGGCAATGCATTAGATAATGAGATTCGTAATTATACAGATGTTCAAAGTACAGATACGATATTTATAACAACACCCAATTCGATCATCAAGAATGATTCGCTGGATAAAGCATTAATCGATAAGAATATTTCAGAGACTGCCAACGATAATCAAATATTCTCCATAATTAACACAAGTATAGAGTCCTCAAACTACAACAAAGTTACCACTCAATTCTCATTTAAAAAAGAAAACCAGAATGAACATAAAGCAGAAAAGAAACCAGAAAGTAAGGCCAAAGAGCTAAAACCACACAATGTTCCCTACAAGTTGCACGATCGGAAAGGCAGTGTTCAAACGTTTACATTAAGTCGGAGCAAAATGCAATTACAGCATCATTTGCAGCTAGGTAATATATGTCTGTTTATATAATTTTGGTTTCATTTTTCTATGATATATATAGTTGACAAGTAAATTACTTTGCAATATAAATACAACTATACTAGTATGTCTTTAACTTCTTGTATTGAAGTATTTAAAGACTAAATGTTCCTGAAATATATTGTATAAATATTATCATACAAATCGTTTGGATATGTTTTGAAATGGAAAATATTTTGGTTATTTTCAATAGAGCAACTGCTGTCACAACAGAGTACAAATAAATCATTTTAATTTTATTTCAAAGATGTAGAATTGTTGTTTTTATTCTTCTTTTAAGCACCCATGGAAGATGCACCATTTGGAACTATGATGGCACAGGTATGCTTTCTCAGATAAACATATTTGAATAAAGGGGAATATCGTTGTTTTTAAAATAAAACATCGTATGATCATATTAAGGATTATTTATTAAAATACAAACAGAACATGAATTTTATTTTTAGACTTGAGAATTTCGCTCCTCAACCATAACATAATTTATACATTATTATGTCAAAGTCAAAAAAATAAATAACTATAATATATACAAGATTAAGTATACCAATCTTACCTGTGTAAATTACAATTTACACTCGAATGTATATACATGTAACAACATTATATAACATGAATAAAGTTATTGGTGTCTAATGTTTCCGTGTTACCTAAATTTCCTAGGTATTCGGCATAAACAGCCTCGAGTGCATCTTCATGCACATGTCAGAAGTTTTAGTTTCACCTTTATACTGTTATCTTATTAAAATGTTACATATACTTCTGAATAAACTCTGTGTGCCCAACTTGGGTGTGTCGCGGGGCTGCATCCTTTGAACGTTGCCCTTGCCTTGTTGATCTTCAATATTGTTTTATTTTATTCAAATGAAAAGCAAAATAAATTATTTTACCAATTTACTTTGAGTTTTCATACCTTTTAAGACAATGGTCTTTCTTTGTTAAACAACCTTTGAAATATTTGATAAATGCCATACAGACGAGACAATGTAAAGATGTACTAAAAATAAAGTTTAGTATTGGTTCTCTTTTGAAACAGTTAAAATGTAATTGCCTTGGAAATATGAGTAACAACTTTTACTGACTAGGCAGCAGATGCGCGTTGATCGCCTTGTTGTGTACATCATTACTTAATGGAATAAACTATGATGTAATGGACATGTCTTCCTTAAAATATTCAATTTATTTTCGGGAATTTTATTCTTCTAACTTTTGCTGTCTTTGTTAAACAGTTAGACGGAAATATGAGGCATCGGGATACATAACAATATATTGAACATATTTTATAATCAATGATGCAAAGATTTATTGCAACATATTATGTTTATTCTTCAGTTTCGTAACAAAATCAGTCAATGTTTGTAGGCTTTGTACGTTTAAACATAGATGGTATTTCGTAATAATATTTATCAATGCAACATATTCTAGGGACACACATATATCATATGAAGTTCATCCTCTATGCCACTAGAGTGACAAATATTGCTTGCTCCTGCATCTCATTTCTATAAATAGCATCTGACAGATTCAAACAAAAAATTCGTTTTTTTTTCGTTGTATAACATTTTTTTTGCAGTTTACTTGAATTAAGAATCCTATTTTGTTTCGCTCTTAGACTTAAGACATTTTAATCGCGTTACCATAGAACCGTAAATATATTTTATGATATTAAAGTCTGCCTATTTATGGTAGAATATTGACACGTTTATAGCGGCTTTACAGTTTATTACTTTAATAAATAGAATCGCTTTCTTTAGATTAAAAAAAAAAAACAACATACTGACTAGCATAATAAACCGCGACATTTCTAGGTGCGTTATTTTCCACATGACTTCATGAACAATTAAAATAAAAAATTAAGACTACCATACACCAAAATGAATATGTTTCCAGAAAATATCAAATCCGTTTTATATAAAATGCTTAGTAACTACAAATATATCAAATTATGATATGCAAGTGCCATGGAATGTAAAATTGTAAAGCATTAAAATTGACATGAATTTTGTAAAAAATTAATGTGTTTAACTGACGCTTGAGTTTTGTTAAACGGCACGAAATACCCCCGAATAATAAATACATTTCATATAATTCACTTCACTTCAGTGTTGTTATTTTTTCTGGTTCTTTGGGATCATTAATTCCAATACTTTAATGTGTTGAAAATGAGTACTACTCAAGCCGGTGCTAGGGGGCATGAGGGATGTTGCACTTTTCATTATCCGACATGTACAGACTCAGTCAAACCGAGCCTGCAATTTTCATGTAATTTGTTGTGATTAATGCTTCTGAGGGATCACACTTTATCCAGTTTTTTATCATTCTAGGAAAAGCGGTATCTAGTCACTGTTCTGGTACCTATCGGCGTAGGAATAATTGGTGCAGCATTAATCGTGTGTACAATACTAACATTAAGGAAAATAGCGCGGCAAAGGTCTCTCCAGGTCCCGATAGACGACACTGAAGTACAGAGATCAATAACACCCAGTGTCTCTAGTGTATGTATAATTATATTTACCAGCTACATATCTACATAACCTATACTTCAAACACCATTTTGATGATTCATTCTGGTATAAAAAGTTCAGCGATTCATATAAAAATGATTTTGTTGGCTTTCAAGCTAGGTAAATAATGATTATATTTCGAATGAAATTCTCATTTTTAATTATTATCTTACTATCTTTAAAATGATGTTTTAATAAGACATACATTGCATGTATTACGAACAGGAACATTGTAATTATTACCTATGTAGAAATCCCACTCAAAATTAGTTATTGGTGCAAATAACAATATCTTACAAAATTCTAGAATCTAAATTTAAAAGGCATTTCAACTTTTCTGATTGAAAATGAAAGTTCATGTATTTCAATATTTCATTTATATATTTCAGATACATACGGAGGATAATGATAAAGTGTTCCTTTTATTTGGAGACGAAGAAATATAAATCATTTTTGTAACTTATCAACAGGTTGTGTTTAATATTGTGTCAAATGTATTGGGTCCAGACTTATACTACCAATAATTGTATTATTGTAAGAACTTGTCATAAATTTTCTTTTTAGATTGACAAGGATATATTCCGTTCATGTGTTGATAAATCACATGAATGAGTAGAATAGTTATTATATCCCGATATCACGGAGTTGTGATGGGGTAACTAAAGCAGATTGTCCGCCTGTCACATGTTCGCCCGACACATAAGTGAGTTATCAACTCACTTCACAGACGATTAATTTCATTTAGGAATAATTGCAGTGCTTAAGAAGCTTAAGAACCATAACTCTTCTTTTCATTATTTGGACCTGTTTGCCCTTTTTAAATTTTCATACTTAATTTTTGCCCGGAGCATAACTAAAAGTATTCGTGTACCAACTTCATTCAGGAGAAGTACAATGCTGAAGAATCATAACGCTGATTTGTTTAGTTTTGGGAAATTCAAAAACACTGCAATGAAGTTCGTGCAGGTTCTTACAGCTACCATTGAACTGATACAATCACATTGCAATGACAACTATGTCCCTGGAGTTGCGTGAACAATTAACAAACAGACAACATGTGAAAGCATCAGTGTCAGTAACCTTTTATCTTGAGTTAAAACAAGCTTGTGAACTTACAGATTATCTCGTATTCTACTTGACTTAATTCTCAAATTATATTATATTTCACTGAATTTCATTTCGCCGTTTAAGTAATACATTTTCACACATCAAAATAACATTTTCCTATGTATCAATACCCTAGCAAAGAGGCGTGCTGGAGTGATTGTCGGTGGCAGTTCGAGTATAATACAGATTAAAGTCGAAGTAGGGGGTTTGAAGCTCACTTTGTAATTCTTCTTGTTATTCTCAATGAAAAACAACGGCTTGATTTTTTTAATCAAGTTAATGCTGCAAATCGGTACAATTTTTTGCTATACACTCAGAGAGTGTGTAATTAGTACATATTGTGTGGTGTCATTAGTGTGTTTATTTGTGGTACCAAATGCAAACGTATAGAATCTGGTCAGAATGAACAGATGTGATGACTGGTCTGGCTCTATACTGGCAGTGAGGGTTATCAGTTCCGTTCACACCAGGTGATGAGACGAACATTTTCATTTTAAACAGATTATGCTGTTAGCTTGTTGTTATTGTTTTTTTTTAACTCTTTGGAATGTTTTTATAATTTGATATTATTGTCATAAAATTATTTGTGTCATTTTTAATTTATTAATGTTTGTGAAGTAAAAACATTTAATCTGAAAAATATTAAGATGTGTCTGGCAATAATATAAAAAAGAAAATATTTAACCTGTGAAAATATGTTAAGCATACATAATAAACCAAAGGATAAAAGAGTCGACAAATTGTATAGACCAGTATTTGATGTTCCTGTTGGCGTAAGCGTAAAAACATAACGCAAAGTGTATAATTAAGACAAACATTATGTATATCGGATTCAATAGCAGTCTTCTAATGAAAGCAGAATTATAGAGAACATTAATACAAGATATACCTAAAGACTTGTCAAATAAAATTGAGAAAATAGATATAGTTTTGCCTGGGGGGCAATGTTTCTGATGGGAATTTAACTTGATTTAGTAATTTATAGAAGACGTTCAGATACGATTATCAGGATTTCAATTAAGTGATGTCTTTAAAACATCTGTAAGTCTCAATTTAAGAATAATTAAAAAAGTATTCCTTTTGTACATTACATGAGAACTAATTAAATCATCTCAAATAAAAACGGTCTTTTGTCTTTAATAGTGAAGTGAGCCGTAACAAAAACTTCCTCAATGTATTGCAGAAATATCTTTTATATATTGTAACAAAAACATGTAGCTTGCAGAGAAAATTTCTTTTTTATAATGTATAATTTTACTGATTTTTTTTTTATGATCATTTTAACAAACCAAAGGAACATGTATGTATTTATAGATAAGGCCTTATTTATCCACATGTTTATTTCAAATTTGAATAATGGTTTTAAACGCAACTTGTCATGATCATATAGTTTTCTTATCTTTTGAGTTCAAATGTTACACGCATTGAAATACTTGACAACTTTTATTAAAATATTGAACCATTGAAATATGGCAGTTTGTTGTCATACCTAAGTCATGTGGAAATAAGGACTAAACGATAAATGCATTTCTCTTCCTTCCATTTTACATTATTAGTTATAAAGATTGTTGACAGGTTATATGGCCCTATATAAACGGCCATTTGTAAATATAACCCGAGCCGCTAGGCGAGGGTTATATTGCAAACAGCCGTTTATATACGGCCATATAACCTGTGAACAATCTTTATTACGAATTTATAATACAGCAGGCATCATTTTTTAAAGAAAAAAGTAAGATTTCTTCACGAGTCGACAGCAGCCGTGTATATAAAACTATATAAACGTCAAGATTATCCAATAAAAAGTGACGTTACAAACGTGCAGTATTATAACATAAGTTATAGACTAGAACTGTACTTACAGTTGTTATTATCATCCTGTTCTTTAATTCATATAATATATTGTTTTGTGCCGCCATTTTATAATACTGTATTGGGGATAAACATTGTACATATGTTAAAGCAAAAATAAAGTTTACGTGAGTTCTTAAGAGGTTGTTATACATTTTCATTATTTTTGCTCTTTTTGCTCTTACCTAAATCTATAGGTTCAACAACCAAACTTTACCTAAAACTCATGTAGACATTGTATGACAAATATGATATGGACTGAATGTAGGCTCAATACTGAAACTAGTGAGCGCGTATAATAAAACTAATAATATATATTATGCGAGCCTCTAGCAGGCATTTTATTATTTTATTCATCGAATTCAATGAATTTCGCTAGTAAACCTACACGAATGAAATGTTCTTTGTATAGCATACTTAAAATTCGTTAAACTGTTAACAGTACAAAATAATGCGCATATAGTGTTATGCTTTAGACAGATTATATGGCAATACAGAAACAACTCATAATATATTATGTAGAAAAAATGTCTTTATGTTATGTATATACCAGTACTCATGTATTCATGAAACAAAGGAACGTGTTTTTTATGGGTTTTTTTATAGATATGGCCTAAATTATCCACAAATTTATTTCAAATTAATTTATTTGATGGTATTAAACGAAACTTGTCTTATATGTTTGAATCAAAATGTAACTCGCATTAAACTTGACAACTTGAGTATACCAGCAAATATATTGAACCATTGAAATGCGACTGTTAGTTGTCATGTCATGTTGAAATAAGGACTAAACGATCAACGTATTTCTCTTCTTTCCCTTTTCACATCATAGTTTATAGACTAGAATTGTATTTACAATTGATATTATCATGCTTTTTTTTACTCAAATAGTATATAGTTTGTCCCATTATACTATTCTGTATAAGCGGTAAACATTGTACATATGTTAAGGCAAAATAAAAGGTTTACTGGAATACAAAAGTGGTTGTTTGCATTTTCATTTTTGTTTTGTTCTGACTAAAATCAATAAGTCCAACAACCAAATTTTATCTGAAACTCATGTAGAAATTGTACGACAAATCAAAGATATCGAATGAATGTAGACTCAATACTGAATTTATTTAACAAGTAGAATAAACTTTTATTATGCAAGCCTCTAGCAAGCAAAACATTATTTCATTCATGAGTTCAATAAATTTAGTAATGAAGAAACACGAATATAGTGTTCTTTTTATCGCATACTCGACATTCGAACTGTTAACAGTAAAACGAATCACTTTTTCTTTCACGTGCTCATAGCGTTACAATTTAGACAGATTATATGGCCATGCGAAATGGGCTGCTTGTTATAGAACCCTGGATTTACGGCTTTACAACCTTTTTATACTGAGTCATAATACCTGTACTTTTAATATAATTACTTTTATAGAGAAATTACGTTAAAGCAAATATAACATTTTCGAAGTTAAATAACGTTTTGATCATGATAACGGCTTCGTGACAAAATACTCTTATAATTATAACAGAATGTCTGGTATTTCATAAAACGAAAGTCATTTTATCTTCAATGAATTCAAAGGTTATTTTGTTAATTTCTATATATTAAGTATACGAGAATAGAAACTCAGAAAACAATTTAATTTAAAAAGAAAACAATTTCATTTATTTTAGAAGTGTTTGTATTAAAGTTTTGTTTCATTTATACAATATTTTACAACTGATTCAATCTTTTATTTCACAAATAAGCAAATGTTAGATTATTTGACATTTAAGCAAACGTAATTACATTGCTACATTGTAGACAAAGTTATGATAACGGTCGATCTCCGACAAATATTATTTCCTGCAATATAAAATACAGTCTAGTAGTCACAATATGTACATATATAAAAAACAAATTAATATAATATTAATAACCAATCAATTTTCCTAATAATATAATTTAACTGCATGTAATAATATAATTTGTTTGAATTATTACAAGAATAATTCCAAAATTACCCAAATGAAAGAAATATGTATGTATAATTTTTTAAGAGCGAATGGCGCCTGTATGAAATCATTGCGTAACAGTTACAACTCTACCAAAGTAGCTGCATAGCAGCATAATCATTTACCATAACTAGATTTTATAAAACATATTTTTATGATATAGCTCTCTACCATTTAAAATGCCATTTTCAAACTAACTTTCATTGAATATAATTCATACATACAGATTTGCAAGTATTTGCAATTATTTTGATGAGTGTATATAACAGTAAGTAACTGTCAAAGTTACTCATTTCGTATGTAATGAAGAGCTTGGGTATTCTAACTGACATATTCAGTTGCCATGTGTTGAAAAATAAGAATTGAAATTGAACATTCAAAAAATATTTGGTCACGGTTACAAATTGCTTGATATTTATTTCAATATTTTAAAGAAGTAATTTCCTACTAAAAATAAAGGCATATATTTAATTCATTTTAATGTTCTGGAAGATAATAGAAAATACAACATCACTCACATTCCTACAAAAGTTATGTTTGTCCTTGTAAATGTGCAAATCTCGTATATAATGTTATGGAAAAATAATCCCGATATACAGAAATGAAACTTCCATCTGAATTATATCAATTTCTATCGTCATGTATTAAGTAAGTTATTACCGCTGTGCACTGGATGTACGAATGTAACAGTTAACTTCCAATTATCTAAGTCTGTTCTTGAAGGTGATAGAAAGTACAATATGTCTGATGGCATTTTCTTCCCCTACAGCAGTATTCAATTTTAAACATTTAAGGTATGACCCTCCTAATGGGCACTATAAGGAAATGGAAAAAAACGACAAAAGGTGAGTAAGG